TTCCACGAACTTTTTTTCATAAAAAAAATTAGAAAAATCAAAAACCGGGAAATGGCAATACAAAAAACAGATGGAAAATGAAAACAAAAAAAACCAGCAAACAAAAAAGGTGAATGACAAAACAAATAAAAAACCAGATCAACAAGGTTGCAGTTTTTCCCCTTTTTCCCTTTTCAAAAGCACAACTATACTTCTCATGGAAACTAATGTGCTTCCACGAGAAGCAAATTTGTGCTCTATGTGGAAGTATTTTTTTTTCAAGAAACACATATGTGCTCCTTACGGAAACAAATATGTTTCTCCACGAGAAGCACACTTTGTGCTTCCCGTGGAAGGATTTTTTGTCGAAAAACACAGATGTGCTCCTTTGTGGAAGCAAATATGTTTTTCCACGAGAAGCAATATGTGCTTCTCATGGAAGCATATATTTTTTTTCACTTTTTGAGAAGTACAACTTTGCTTCTTGTGGAAGCACATTTTTCTCCGATAAGTACAATTGTGCTTTTGGTGGAAGCAATATTTTTTCCCTTTCCTGTGCTTCTCGTGGAAGCATATATTTTTTTTCCTTTCTAAAAAGTACAGTTGTGCTTTTCGCAGAAGCAAATATGTGCATCCACGAAAAGTAGATTTGTGCTTCCCGCGCAAGCACAATTTTTTTCCATGCAAAAAGAATCCACACAAGTTTTTTCTTCAATTCCTAAGACAAATTGGACGAAAATCGAAAAGCCAAAAAAACATGGAAAACCCCATCTAAAATCCGAAAACGCGTAAGAAAAATAAAATATAAAATCAAGAAGAAGAACCCAGCACACGACATGTGGCAGCGGCTGGATGCACCACTTGACGTGTTCCAGGCCACCCAAAATTAGGGCTTGTTTGGGACTACTCCGCTTCACCAAAATGATTTCACTCTATCAAATCCACTTTGGAGCAGTTTCATATAGAAGTTGTAGCACTACCAAAGAGAATGTTTGGTTTCCATGTAGCTCCAGCTTCGAGAATGAGAAATTTGTTGGAGAGGATCTATTTGTTTGGATGAGGGGGGAGAAACAAAGGGGTATTCACTTACTGGTAGCAGTGGTGGGTAAATTTCCCCCAACTCCAGCTTCTAGAGTTTTTTCGAGCACCCCTTCAAGAGCTTCATAAAAAACTGGGAGGTGTACCCCAGATTCTAATTTTTTTTGCAGAGCGGCATATCGCGGAGCTACCCGTTTGGCTTGTGCTTTTCTGGAGCGGAACTGATTTTAAGGAGCAGAGCAGTCCCAAACAGGCTCTTACTCATCAAGATCCCCGCAAGGGGAACCTCCGGTTATTTTTTTAAGGAGTAAACCATGTTTTATACATCAAACATCACAAAATGTGGGATACAGTCCTGGTCGTGAGATTGGTCAAACCAAACATGACTTAAAACTTGACTTGACTATATGCTTCGACATTGACAGCTCGACCTTCAAAAACAAACTTACATTTCAATAAAAACGCTTGTAACTTGATCTCACATAAAAAGCAAACAAGACGGGGAAGTGATGGGATCTAGCCTTGATGAATATTTAAGCATGGCCAGCCCGGTCTATGGATCATGGCCCAAACGCATGATGTCATTCACCTGGCCCACATCCCATCCTCTTACTTACCACCCCTAAAAAATACTGTCGCCGCCTCCCCCTGGCCTTCGCTTCCCTCCTGAATCCTTCCTTGCATCTCAGCGAATCCATCTTCAGTGCAAAGATCAATGAAGTGACCTTGTCAGGCTCACCGTCGACGGCAGAAGCACCACTGCTCTACGCACGTCCATCCTCAAGAACCCGTCAGCGAGACCTGGTAACACCACATCGCCGAGACTCCCCGTCTTTGATTCGGAAGACCACGCCACTCCACCTTAGGACCCCTCCAAAAAAACGGTGCCCCCAGGAGGGAGCACGGCGCCATGCACCGCCATTGTCCAATCCACGAGCTTTAGATCTTGGGTTTCCGCACAGCAGCGTGGGCGGAAAGACGGCAGTTGCAACAATGATGCCTCCAACAAGGAAACAGCACAAATACGGCGCCATTGTCCGCCTTGATTGAGGTCGGCGCAGTTCTCACCGACAACAGCACCTCCCCAAACCCACATCTAGCTTTGATCCACAAACCTCAGATGGTTGCGGATCTCACGCATCAGGCACCATCGATGCCGGCGAGAGCTTCGGCTACCACTCGCCTCGAGCAACAAAACCGCGAATGTGATTCCTTGATCCATAGTCCCAGGCACCGCCACATGAAGCCACCTCCTGGCCCGCCATCCCCGACGGAGGGGACATCGTCGCCGCCGCCATGTCAGAAGCCGCTGCTCTGGGCCCTTGCATTGTATATCTCTGCCGAGGCTGCTATCCCTACATTGTCGTCGGACAGGACAGCGCGCCGCCGGGAGGAGCAACCACGACAAGAAGATCTCGTGTCGCCATGCACCGCCCCTCCAGGAAATAGCGCCATGGCCGCAGTACGCGAAATCCCCGTCGTCCCCTTCACTGGCGGCGTACAGGCTATCCTGATGGCCACCTCTAGGGACGGCGGGGGAAGAAGAAAGGGAGGAGGGGTTGGCAGCACCGACAACTAGGGTTAGCCCCCCGGTCGACCTGGAGGCGACACGAGGGATGCACAGGCTATCCAACCCTCAAGGATTTGTTGTTTGCCTCTAATTGTCACCACAGGCCAGAGTTCGGTGGATTTGATGGTGTGTGTTGTGTATGATGGTTGCGTGTTGGATCTGGGTGCTTGTATCTATGTTAGTTCCTGAAAAGGCTTTAAAAACATTGCATAAATCTTTACCTACTAAGAGGGTGCTTGGATCCAAGGGACTTATTTTAGTCTGACTAAAAATAGTTTTTTTAAGAGGCTAAAGTTCTAAGCACCCTTGACTAAAGAGGGGCTAAAACTAGTCTTGAGACTAATTTTTTTTAGTCAGGGGTATCCCTACTAAAATGTGGATTAATCCTCTCTCTCCTCATTTAATTCCTCTCCTTTAACACATGCAAGTTCTGGATTGGAGGGTTTGAAGGATAATAAATGCCCATTAACTTGATTTTAGTCTCTTTAGTATTTGGATCCAAGCATGGGTGAGGCTAGCAAGTTTTAGTCCCACTAGTTTTAGTCATGCGACTAAAACGTATCCAAGCACCCTCTAATAAAGCGGCTATCGTTTCTGGTCATCCATCATTAAAATTACCCTTAAAGTTGGTTAAAATTACCCACCAATGCCACCCGTAAGTGGAATCTTTACCCTCTAATAAAGCGGCTATCGCTTCTGGTCATCCGTCATTAAAATTACCTTTAAAGTTGGTTAAAATTACCCACCAATGCCACCCGTAAGTCGAAAAACGATTCGATTTTTTGGACCAAAAATCGACGCCTCCTTTATAGTAGCGCGGCGAGTAGAGGCCACAAAACAACGAGCAGCAGAGTGGTTGGCCGATTGCTCTTTTAGCAGCGAGACCACGGTTCGATCCCCAACTTTCACAATTTTTATCTTTCTTTTCTCACGCATGTTCTACTCATGTATGCATTCATGGGCCGGCCCAGGTGCGGGGCTTCACTCCCCTGTTTTTTTTCATTTACTTTTTTGTCTTTTCTTTTCCCATTCCGTTTTCTTTCTTCTTTAAATTAATTCCGGATTTTAATATTCTAAAAGTTGCGAGTTTCAAAAAAAAAGTTTGATGAAAAATATAAAATATATGTGAATTCAAAAAGTTTAGAAAATCATAAAAAGTTTGCAGATACAAAAAATGTTGGTGGTTTTGCAAAACTGTTTGCAAAATTATTTTAAAAAATCACAATTTGTAAAAAATGGTCGGGAAATAAAATCTTGTTCATGATTTTGAAAAAATGATCGTGTATTAAAAACATATTCGGGAATCTGAAAAAAAATGTCCATGAAATTTTAGAAAATGTTCACAATAATAAAAATAAATATTTGTTTTTTTGTTTTGTTCCCCAATTTTAAAAAAAAGTTCATCAAGTCAAAAAATGTTTGTTGAGTCAAAAAGTTAATGAATATGAAACCGGTTCATATATTCAAAAAAAATTGTAAACAAAACTAATGTTCATGATTTTTGAGAAAATCAAAATTTTCAAAAAAAATGTTTGTCGATTTGAAAAACTGTTCACTGATTCAAAAGTATTTTATGTCTAGGATTTGATTAGTTTTCCAAAAGTCTTTTTATGTCTTGGCGTTGGGTGTAGTTCGTGGTGAATGAGATTTGTTTTTAAAGTTTTAAATGTTCCCTTGCGCAACATAGTGACAAGTGTGGCATGCACTGGCAAACTCATAGCCTTGGGATTTAACACGTCGAGTGCATTGTGATCACGTGAACATCGCGACCATCATCGCCTAGGGTGAGAAAAAAATGGCAACATGCTGAACCACTATGTTAAAATAGAGTACGCTCATATTTCGGGATCGGATATTGAATCCATAATTTTTTTGTCTCCAGTTGCAACGCATGGACATATTTGCTAGTTAAAGGATAATATGCATGAAATACAAAAAATGTAGTACTAGATATGTTGAATCTACGGAGGGCGCGCTCCTCTCCTCCGCGTGCCGCCGCCCCAAAGAACCCACGCCCAAACTTTGCTCCCGCCACTTCAACTTTTAAACACAAGCTGGTGCTAGCTGTCTCTCTCTTCCCTTGTCATGTGACCTCTCTCTCTGCGCATAGGCATATCACATTTCAAGTCGTTCCTCTCTCCTCTTGTCCCAATCATGCCCATTGCCCGATTTAGCTCAGTGTCGAGCTGAACCCCACGCCATCCATTCGCGGATTCGCCCAATTGTTTCCGCGGCGGCGGCCAGCGGCAACGACAACGTGAGCGAAAACGAGGGCCGTACAATTTCTGGCATGGCCCGGGCCTACATTACTGCTTGAGCCCCCGGCAATGCAAAGGTTTGGGCGTTGCGCCATCGATCGCGCCCGCTGCCTGCGCCTGCGCCGGTTGATTGATTCGGGCGCGCGGTCCCGGCCATGGCGCAACCGCCGCCCAAGATCCCCACCATGGCGCCGGCCTGGCCGGAGTTCGGGGGTGGGCACCACCACAGCGCCCACGCCCGCCACCACCATCACCAGCGCAGCCCCTCCATGGGGGCCTTCCTCGCCGCGCCAATGCCGCCGCTCCCGCCCCCAGCGCCCGCCAGCGGGGATGCGGCGCAGCCGCAGCCTTCCTGGGTCGACGAGTTCCTCGACTTCTCGGCCGCCAAGCGCGGCGCGCACCGCCGCACGGTCAGCGACTCCACCGGCTTCCTCGACGACAGCAATGCCGCCGTCGGCGCGAACGAGTTCGACCGCCTCGACGACAGCCAGCTCATGTCCATTTTTTCCGACGAGTTGGCCCCACAGCGGCAGGCGCAGGCGGCGAGCGCGTCGTCGCCGTCTGATCACAACAGCATCAACGACGAGAAGCAGGACAAGGGCGACGCCGAGGAGGCGCAGAGCGAATGCAACGACGACGGCGCGGCGCCTGGGCAGCCGTCCTCGGCCGCCACAGTCGATCCCAAGCGGGTCAAGAGGTGATTTTTTTTTCCTGTTACTCTTAGAATTACGGCAATGCACAGCTCCGAAAGGCCGAATTCCCAGATTTCTCAGCGTCCTCGTCGCCACAATCGCAGGATCCTGGCAAACCGGCAGTCGGCGCAGCGGTCACGCGTGCGCAAGCTGCAATACATCTCGGAGCTCGAGCGCAGCATCACGTCGCTCCAGGTCCATCGAATCTCGAGCTTGATTTCCCTGCCTCCAAAGAAAAACACCGTGAATTTGACCTGGAAACCGTGCTCCCGAGCAGACGGAGGTGTCGGCATTGTCCCCGCGCGTGGCATTCCTCGACCACCAACGCTCGCTGCTGACGCTGGGGAACAGCCACCTCAAGCAGCGCATCGCGGCGCTCGCGCGGGACAAGATCTTCAAAGATGGTGACCGGCATTGCCACCCCTCGCGATTTATTTCGAAATTTCTCACCGGACACCGTCCGAATTCAATTCAATTCAAAACAATCCACCCCTTTGCTAACTAACTCCCTGTGCGTGAACGAATCTGTTGTGCGCGCTCAGCTCATCAGGAGGCACTGAAGAAGGAGATAGAGAGGCTGAGGCAAATCTACCAGCAGCAGAGCCTTAGGAATGTAGAACCCCCGGCACATGAGGACGGTCGTCCCCTGGCCCGCAGCGACAACAACGGCTTGATCGCCGGCGAGGGGACCGCCGCACCCTCGTGATCAAGATCCGGCCCGTCGGCCTCAGGACAACCAAGTGTTGTCGTTGTTCTTCTTGCTGCCGTTGTTAGGATTTGGTGCACTGCATTGGCTTGGTTTGCATTCTTCGGGGTGTGATGATGTATGTAAGTCAGTTTGTTCTTTCCGGTGGGTGGTTGCCAATTTGTTCATTCTTGGTTCCTCAATCTGCTCCTGATTATTCTTCTCTACTTCCCCTGATCTGTAATTTTTTTCCCCGGCATTTTGGGCGAAGGTTGTAGCTAAGGATTTGTAACTCAGATTGGTTGAGGTCGAGTGGTTTCATTGCTTGGCGGGTTTTGTTCTATTTCTGTTCAATCAAATGCAATGTTTTCTCCGTCCACTGTTCATACATTACCAGTTTTTTTTCTTGCAGCCGTGACCAAACTTGTAGTAACATGTAAGGCCTGTTTTACATTGATAAGCAGATTTATTACGGTGTCACATGCAGGGCAGCTGCAACTGGAAGCAAACATGCAAGGGGCCATCTCATTCCTTGCTGTTCCATAATGATTGCGTACTCTAAAAAAATAGAGATATAAAAACGCAGTGACAACGAGAGGGGGAGGTTCGCGAATGGTTCTCTGTAGACTATTCATATCTGAGTTTCTCTTTTTTTGTTTCTCAATGTATGTCTCGAATTTTGATCTGAATTTTTTAGGGGTTATCTTAATATGCGTTGTGAACATGCATTATTTTTTTTAATTTTTTCACAATGTTTAAATTTGAATTCCGGCCGCATGGCACACGGTGCCATGCAAACGTCACCTGATCTCTGTCCGAGGGGTAGTGCCTTCCTTTTGGTGCAAGGGATAGGCATGCATGTTCCTCTGGGTACGCGCATGTGCGTGATGGCTGTACCCGTACGTATCCGCCGGTGCAAGTTACCCTGCCCCTGCCACTGCCAGGGTTGGGTCTGGCGTACATAGCCGGTATCCGGCCGTGTTGGCAAGGTCGGTTCTTGCTTATCGTCATCTAGCCAGCCCTATGATTATTGGATTGCGACTCATCCTTTTTTTTTCATTTGGCTTAGAGCAACTCCAACGGTCCAAACGGACACGCGTTTTGTCCGTTTTTCGTCCTTTTGGGTTGGCCAGGCGGATGTGTGCGTCCGCATTCTAAAATGGGTCGGGTTGACCGCCCAACGGAGAGGCTGACCTAAATGTGCTGCGTGCAAAAAAAAATAGCTCGCACGAAATAAACATAAAATAAACATAATTAAACATAAGTGGCCGGTTAAACGCCGGCCAAAGCCCACTTAAACCTAATTAAACAGTAATTAAAATATTAAAAAAAAGTCTGCGCCCGCGTCCTGCTCCGGCGTCGCGGCGAAGTGGACGGGAGGCACGCTCACCCACTCGCGATACTGGCCCGTCCACGAGTAGGCCTCCTCCGGCCAAGTGGGTGGAGGCGGGTAGCGCTTCCGCGTCGGCTCCGGCTCCGGCTTGGGCTGGATGGGCGGCGACGGTGGCGGTGGTGGCACGAACATCAGGGTGTGGACGGAGTCCTCCACCGCCGACAGGGCAAGGGCTTGCTCCAGCCCATCCCAGTGCGCGTCCTCCTCGAGGCGGCTAGCCTCCAGCGCCTGCTGCAGGGCCTCCTCGAGGGCGGCCTGGTACTCCACCTCCGCCTCCATGTCCTCCGGCTGTACCTGCGGGGGCGGCGGTGGGAACTGCGGCGGGACGACGTCGACACCCGAACGCCATTGCTCCTCGTGTTCGATGGCGGACCAAGCCTCCCAGTTGGGAGAGTCGGGGCGTACTCAGGCAGCCGACGCTGCTCCGGCGTGAGCTGCGCGTGGCGCCGGCGCACCTCGTCCTCGTGCGCCCACTGGCTCTGCGAAACCGCCGTCACCGGGATCCGCTGCGGATCCAGGTGCCAATGGCGCGGCAGCATGACGTCGCGGTATGGCAGCGGCTGCATGTACTCCTAGTGCCACCGCGCTTGGTGCACCTGGATGTGCAGGCCGGCGCCGGAGGAGGAGGAGGGGGGAGCACGGGAGGACGAGGCACCGGGGATGCCCTTGCCCTTGCCCTTGCCCTTGCTGCTGCCGAAGAGGCCCATGGCGCGCTAGGGTTTGCTGTCGCCGGCGAGGAAGCAAAGGGTGTGGTGGGGGGAGGCCAGATGTGGACGGGAGAAGTGGATGAGGCCGGCCCCCGCCGCACGCGTGCTTAAAAAGGACACTTCCACTGGCTGACTAGTGGGCCTGCTCTCGATGGTCGTCATAAATAAGACGACCGGTGGCGGTTGGGTGGCTTACAGGTGGGGACGCGGCGGATGCCGAGGAGACGCACGGCGCATCTGCTTCGCGTCCGCGCCGACGCATTCCAGGTGTAATTTTGGGCTGGAAATGGGTAGGCGCGAACGCCAAGCGGACGAGATTTGCATTTGGGTCGGCGCGTTGGGCCTTCACTTTTGTCCGCGCCGACCCAAATAGACGCAGGAGGACGCAATGGGTCACCCCATTGGAGTTGCTCTTATGGCTAGCATTTCTACTAGGACTTAGGACTTAGGCCAACTCCTATTATAGACCCCAAATCATCCGATTTCGTCCGTTTCAGGCAAAACTCGGCCCAATGGGTGTTCCTATTTTTATCCCGGACCCCAAACCTGAAGCAAATTTGGGCCACAAATGCGTCTAGATGAACGATCTCGCTGGTTTCTCTCGTCCGCTCTTTGGCCCACAAATCAATGAGCGCACGCCTCGCTCGATGTGACACCCTGGATTTTGCCCTTTTTCTTTTTCTTGGATTTATTGGATATTAGGATTTTCATTTGAATTTTCAATCAATTCTTTTGGACTTACCACTTGGAAATTCTTTTGGTGTCGGGGAAAACGAACACCTAGGGGTCATGAGGATCCCTTCTACGTTCGGTGGGGGCATTAGCTGCACGAAGAGCAGGTCGAGCCGTTAGCACACGAGGGATTTTTATCCAGGTTCGGGCCGCAAAGATGCGTAATACCCTAGTCCTGCTTGTCTGGTTATATGTGTGTTCTTGAGCTTTTGAACTAGCTACGGTGCATGCTTTGTCCAAAAGTCTGAATCCTCTCTCTGTATGCCTTGGGCCTCCTTTTATACGCAAAGGGTTGCCACAGTGGCACACAGGAGGTGGCAAGCTACAGTTGTATGAGCTTATCGCTCGACAACGTAGGACAAACACATTTAATGCGTCGCCTACGTGTCCTCTTGCTTTATTGGGGACGGCGACAGAAGCCATTCCGTCTTTCGACGCTCCTCCTCGCTTCGACACATGTCCGGGTCGACGAGGCATGCAGTGCCACGCTGGCCAACTAGCTGCTGTGTTGGCACAATGGTAAAGTCTCCACGAAGATTTGCATGCCGCCACGCAGGTGCCTGCTTAGTTGGCATGCCTATCGTCGCAATGGAGTGGTGGTGAGGTGGCGAAACCTTGCCGAGCGCAGGTCTGGCCGCGGCCCAGTGATCGTCCCCGGCAAGGCTTGCTGGGGGCCTTGGAGTTGTCTCCGGCAAGGGTCTTGCCGGGGGTCTTTGTCTTCTGGTCCCATGTGGATCTGTGGGCTGTTAATCTTTATGAGGATCTGCATGCTATCAAGCATGCGCTCTCCAGATCTTGGTCTTAACGTTATCGATGGTGTCAGAGCTCTCAGCCCCAAGGGTGATGGGCTCGCTGGTGCTGTGCAGGACGCCTCGACAAGGCCCTTGCCGGGGGTGGTCCAGCTCGCCCTCTACTCCTTGCGCTTCGGGTGTATGTCTTGGTAGTCTTCGGGTTTTGCCTTCCTCTGCCTCACCAGGCCCTGCCGCAGGTGTGGCTGCGACTGCCCGTGCGCTAGTAAGGGGTACAAAAGTACCCATACTTTTGTACACCGACAGGAGCCCCCGGTGAGGGAGTCCTGGATTAGGGGGTATCCAGAGAGCCGGACTATATACTTTGGCTGGACGGATGGACCATGAAGATACAAGACTCAAAACTTCGTCCCGTGTCCGGATGGGACTCTCCTTTGCGTGGAGAACAAGCTTGGCGATCTGGATATTAGATCTCCTTCTTTGTAACCGACTCTGTGTAAACCCAAGCCCCTCCGGTGTCTATATAAACCGGAGGGTTTGGTCCATAGAGGGACGATCATAATCATCATAGGCTAGCTTCTAGGGTTTAGCCTCTATGATCTCGTGGTAGATCAACTCTTGTAATACTCATATCATCAAGATCAATCAAGCAGGAAGTAGGGTTTTACCTCCATCGAGAGGGCCCGAACCTGGGTAAAACATCGTGTCCCTTGCCTCCTGTTACCATTAGCCTTAGACGCACAGATCGGGACCCCCTACCCGAGATCCGCCGGTTTTGACACCGACATTGGTGCTTTCATTGAGAGTTCCTCTGTGTTGTCGCTGCGAGGCTCGATGGCTCCTTCAATCATCAACAACAACACGGTCCAGGGTGAGACTTTTCTCCCCGGACAGATCTTCATGTTCGGCGGCTTCGCACTGCGGGCCAATTCGCTCGGCCATCTGGAGCAGATCGACAGCTATGCCCCTGGCCATCAGGTCAGGTTCGGAAACTTGAACTACACGGCCGATATCCGCGGAAACTTGATCTTCGACGGATTCGAGCCTACGCCAGGAGCGCCGAACAGTCACGACGAGCATGACTTAGACCTGCTGTCGGACAATACTCAGGATATCGCACCTGCAGGAGCTCTGGACCTAAATCCGGGGCAGATTGCATCGTCCAGAGACGGGCGGATGGACCCCGCCCCGGGGGCATGATACGTCTCCAACGTATCTATAATTTATGAAGCATTCATGCTATATTACTATGTGTTTTGAATGATTATGGGCTTTATTATACACTATTATATTACTATTGGGACTAACCTATTAACCGGAGGCCCAGCTCATATTGTTGTTTTATTGCCTGTTTCAGTATTTCGAAGAAAAGGAATACCAAACGGAGTCCAAACGGAATGAAACCTTCGGCAACGTGATTTTTTGGAAGATTATCATCCA